TCTCCTTGATATGCCACCCTTATTTCTTCTTCAAAATCTATGAACTAGTTCGGATGAAGGACCGCAGTCACAACCATCTTATCGAATCCTCATTCATAGTTTTATCCATAAAAACCATTCAAACTCAGGAACAATCTTGTCTTTCAAAGATTTTCCAAAACATCAAGTTTCCTTTAAATCCTCAAAACATGATATCATTTCCAAAACTGTTTTCAAGAAGCAATCTCTTCTTTATCTTTCCCATAATAACAATAACACCTTAAAACTATCAAAATAGTTTTAACATCCTTTCTTCAAAACCAACATCAAAACTCATAGCATATAATCAACAATAGTTATAAAACTCGCAGTTTATAACCAACGGTAGTTTAAAAACCCAAAGTTTATACTCAACGGTAGTTTAAAACTCACAGTTTATACTCAACGGTAGTTTAAAACTCACAGTTTATACTCAACGGTAGTTTAAAACTCACCTTAAAAAATCACAGGTTCTGAAGATAAAAAGCAGGATTAACCGGTTTAAAAGGTAACAGGTTACCCATTACTATAATGGGTAGATCTTTTAAAGTATAATGCTTTAATAAAAAATAATTTGAAAGTACATTGCTGTAATAAAAAAAAGTAACATGTTAGAATAAGAAAATTTATGAAAGTAGATTGTTATTTCATGTATTTAACTCCTTAATATATATATATATATATATATATATATACGTGCAATGATGTGGCCTCTCCTCAAAGCAAGAAAATGTTTTATCTTTTTTCTTCTTTTCTCAAGTTTCTCCAACCTTAATATTTATTTTTTATTTTTGATATTCACGTTTGAAAAACAAAAGTGAGTTTTTAAGATCTTCTTTGAGTTTTTACAAACTACAGAGCTTTGAGTTTTGAGTTTGCTCAGATTCAGTAGTTTGTGAAAACTCAAAGAAGAAAAATGTAGTGTGTTTTGTTAGATGTTCAAATTATTTGGAATCACATTCTTTGGAGTTCGGACGAAGAAGGTATGATCGATGTAGCACAGTCACGCATATCTGATTAGCAGCCTTGTATCAGCACACTACTGTCCACTTCAAAGATGCGTATGACCCTTCTATATTTAGATTCTCTGAAATCTTAAAACAAAAAAACTTGTAGATCCTCCTATTTTCTAACCAGGGCCTTTTGAATCGGCTCGATTGATGTTTTGATAAATGAGATATGGTCAATTTTCTACCGCATCTTGAATCTGTCAGCATGCTGATTTTCGTATTATCATCACAGAACTTGAACAACCTTTGGAACAAGCTTGTATATCTTGAGCTACTGTTTTGATCAACAAATTTTGTTCTAACAACTTCCAAATCATATTATAATAGTTCAATGTGCAATCCACCAAACATATGCTCACAAATCCAACTTGATATAGAAAGATAAGTCGATCTAAATTAAACTTTTAGAACAAAGATTACAAATAATCAAGTTTCTGATTAATCATTTCGGAAAATTGATTCTAAGCAATCAAAGATCTAAAATCCTTTGCAGATCTGACTTTAAACAAATAAATTAGAACCAAACCTCCTTCAGAATTTCATCGAACTGGAGTGCATAACCAGATTGTATAAAGAATTAAGAGCATCTAACCTAAGATTTTTCTCCACAACATCAAAATTGGATCTAATAGAAACTCAAAACAACCTTTAGTATGAAATATCACATAATTTATACCTTGAATTGTAGATCATGTGATTAAATCAATTGTAGCATCCAAATCATAAAATCGATCTTCAAACCTTCAATTGTTGCCATAGATAAGTGAAATGAAGTAGTATCACTTCGATTGGCTCTAATACCAATTGTAAGTGAAATGAAGTAGTGTCACATTTTTTTTCTTTTCAATTTGTAATAAACACTCAAACTAGGGGACCAAATATATATATATATATTATAAACTTAATTACAGATTTGGTCCCCTAGTTTGAGTGTTTATTACAAATTGAAAAGAAAAAAAATGTGAAAAGATAAAAAATTGAAAAATACAATAAAAATAAAAAAGACAAAAATGTCCTTCATCTAAAAGACATTTTTAACGGAATTACTGATCAGGGACCATTTTCAGAACAAAATGAGAACCACAAGGACGATTTCTAGACTTATCAAAGTTCAGGTCCCATTATCAAATATTTCACCAAACCTCAGAGACCAAAATTAGAGTTTACTCTGCATTCAAATATGTATTTGGTGTCTTTTACTCTATGTGTGTGACCCTATAGGTTCATGTGTTATTAGCCATATTGTTATATGTTGTGTCTTGGACGCTTAGAAACCAACACCACTAATCACTACACCACACCTGGATCATCAATCAAATGAAGTTGTCGAGCGGATAAATAGGACATTGTTAGATAAGTATAATGTATGTTGGCTATATTTGGTTTCCCTAGAATGTTTTGGGTTGAAGCACTTCACTCTGCAGTTCACATTGTGAATCAGTTACCTTGTTCAACTATTGGGGGGAAATTTTTGAAAGAGAAGGGTAAAGGCAAGATCTATTTGAAGTACATACGTGCATTTGGTTATCTTATGTATGTTCATGTTATAGATCAAGAAAAATTGGATTCCAGAGCCACTAAGGGCGCGTTTGGTTTGAGGGATTTGGAGGGATTTGGATTTGAAATCCATTCTAATCCTATGTTTGGTTTGTAGAAATGGTCGGATTTCAAATCCCGGGATTCATTTGAAATCCCACCAACACTGGATTTGAGAATCCTTCGCCCTTACACGAGATTTGAAATCCATTCCCGTGGATTTCATCGCTGTCTCCCTATCATCACTTCAATCCTTCTCATCGCTTCAATCCTTCTCATCGCTGTCTCCTTCTCATCGCCGTCTCCTTCGTCTCCGTTGCCACCGTCGTCGCCCTTCGTCTCCGTTGCCACCGTCGCCGTCACCCTTCGTCTCCGTTGCCACCGCCGTCGCCCTTCGTCTCCGTTGCTCACCGTTGTCGTCGCCCTTCGTCTCTGTTGCCACCGACGTTGCCCTTCATCTTCGTCGGCCTTCGTCAACAGTCGCCTTCG